TTTCTTGTAGGCCCTCTTCAAATACTGCAAGGCTGCAAGATCTCCACAGAGACCTTGTAGTTTCAAGATGTCAGAAGTAAAAAGGAGAGTTGCCGTGTGAATTCAATACAGAAATTTAATGATTTTGGCAAAACTATTAAAAGCTTTCACTGTTCACCAAAACTGATTTCAAAAGTGGCTTGCATTTCAGCTGCAATACAGTCACATGTACTAAATCTGAGAACTACCATTCCTGGATACAGTGAAGAAGTTTGAGTTACTTCTTTTGTATTCTTTAGATGACATTCATGGAGTTTGAAAGACACTTCTTCATGTGGCCAAGTGACAGGATATTGTGTCAGGTTTGCCATAGAAAATTCCTATGTCTCTGCCTAGTCCTGTGCAGTCCCAGCAGAAGAAAAAGTCTAGGCAACACTGGGTGCTAGCAGGCAGAGGGAGAGAGAGCACTATGGCTTCGGGGGACATGTAGAGCTTTTTAATGATGGTTAATTTTTTAAACTGATTAGTTTCAGTTGGAAAAAGGTTGAACAGCTAAAGCCTATTCATTAAGCGGTTTAATTTTTAAAGAAATGGTCTTTAATCTCCCAGGAGGTGGTAATATTACTTGATGCTAAAACAAGCTAACCCACAGGAATTGTGTGCAGTTATTGGTTACCATTGCACTGCTTTTTGTCCCACAGGCAACACGAAGTGAGGCTTCAGGATAGAGATTTAACCCTTTTCTAAGCTCAAATCCCACTGCATATGATGGTGGAGTCTCCTGGAGCTAAAGGTGTTTTCTTGCTGATTTGGACTGGCTTCCTTGTTTTTTTGGCATGGAAGAAGATGTCTGGAACAGGAAAGCTGCCCCTGGGCAGTTTGCATTGCCTATTATAGTCATAGCACAGATGAAGTGGGGGTACAGAGTGCTTTCAGCTTTTAATTTTGGTGCGAAAACTTGTAATAGTTGATCCTCCTTGATATATGGTGATAAATTAGATGGTATTTTCGTATATCTTTCTTTCATTCATATTTCTGTGATTTTGTGACATTCGTGACTTTTGTGTTTGCAATGCCACACTACCAAGCCATGGTATATCTAGCTTATTAATACTCTGAAAGGAAAGAAGTTGTGTCTGTTTCCCCTAAACAGTTAATGATATCGTTGTGGTAATACTGCTGGCAACACTGCTGCTGCCTTTCTTCCACATAGCACAGATTCAGCTCTCTGGCTTCACTGTAATCAGTATAAATGCCTGATTGGAACATTGCTATAATGATTTGTACAAGCTTCATAAAAATAATGGGAAGATGCAAGTTGCCCGTGCAACTTGGACATCCAGTAAATGGCATTGTAATATAATGTACTAATGTATTATGTAATAATCCAGTATTATTTAATGTAATCAAATGTATATTAATGTATTATGTAATAATCCAGTATTATTTAATATGATTAAATGTATATTAATGTATTATGTAATAATCCAGTATTATTTAATATGATTAAATGTATATTAATGTATTATGTAATAATCCAGTATTATTTCATTTGACCCCTTTCGCCACAATGGAAAGCTCTGTAATAGCAGTTGGGGTTCTGGTAGGTCTCATAGGATCACTCCAGCTTTCTTCCCCATTCTTACTGAGAATGGAATTTTTACAGGACATTGGCCAGCTGTCTTCAAACCACAGAACATTTCACATAAATGAGTCAAATGAAACAGATACGTGCAAGACTCTGAAGACATTCGGGAGTATAAGCTTTGTGGAGACAGTTTTTTTACTAAAGGATGTTCTTCTGGGATCTCAGGGAAAACAACAATTCTGTGTAGTACTTCTTTATTTTGCAATATAAATTATAATTTCACAAACCTCCATTGTAATTACACAGAAGAGGACCTATCTGCCAATCATCAATAAACTCCATCCCTACCACAGAACACAATACGTATTGGGGCAAGAATACAGCAGACAATCATCTTCTAGCAGAAAACAAAACAAAACAAAACAAAACCAAACCAAACCAAAACAAAACATCATTTTATGCGTACCTTTACAAATAGGTCACAAACTGAAAATACAGAGGAGAGTGGTACCTCCAGCAGTCTGTGGAAACTCTGGAGTACAAGTGCCTATTCATGCTGTGCTGGGAGGATTGGGTGATAGGGACAGCAGCAGGGCTCTCAGAGCACTAGTCCACACGCTCTCACATGTCAAGAGCTAGGCTGGAACCTAGGTGAGGTAGGTGCAGAGGAGAGCCTGTACAATTTTACACGGGGAGCTGTCTCCTTTCTTGTGCAGTTGCCTGCTCTGTCTCTGCTTAGAGCTGGCTGTGGTGATTATAAATGCACCATACAATTTTCTAAGCGTATTTGTCTCCCTAAAGTATCTAGGAAATGATCTGAGTGTTTCAATCTCAACAGATTGGCAGAAGACTGTCATTCAGCCAGAGCTTTCATGAGTTTGGGAGCTGGCAACTGTCTTCACTTGGCTAACGTGGAATAAAAGAGACCTCATAAGGTCGGGGCAAACTTGCTAGAGTGGTGACTACTGGGGAGATGTCAATGTCCTTGTGATCCACAACAGGTTTCAAAGAAAAGTTCTGCAGGATGGATGTTATAAATATGAATAGCTCCATCCGGGCCAGACCTTCTCCTGCACAGACACGTTTTCCTACAAGCAAAAAGTAACAAAAAGTGAGGTGACAATGAAGTAATTTGCTGGTGACTTATTTTAACCACTGTTCCATGAAAGTTCAAGATATCTCAGAATGGATAAGCAGCACTGTAGCATTTGGGGGAAGGAAATTAATTAAACTAGGGCCTAAGTGTCTAGAATAATGGGAGTGTTCAGCAGGCAATGGCAGTTTGAAGGCTTTGGTTTCTCATGTTCTGCTGCTGTTTGATGGGAAGCTTGGAGAGAGCAAAATCGCATAGCTGAGTCCCACTTCATACATCTCTTCTTTTAGAATGCATTGGAGGAGCTCTTGTGATTACTACAATGGAAGCAAACTGAAACTCTAGTACAGAAGTTAGGGCTGCCCAGAAGTGACAGTGGCAGATCAACAGGTATCACTGTACAGACCATGGTGATTGAGACACTGAATTCTTGAAAGAGGTTCTAGGATAGTCTAGGATCTGAAATAGAAAGAGGCCTTACCTGTGGAAAATGGCAGGAAGTAGTCACTCCTTTTAAAGGTACCATTTGCATTCAGGAAATGTCCTGGATCAAATTTTTCTGGATTTGGAAATTCCTTGCTATCATGTAGGATAGGAGTCAGCACAGGGAATATCAGTGTGTCCTTAAATATCAAAGAGAAAAGAAAGTTAAAATGGAGACATGCTAAAGCAGAGCAGTATTGAGAAGTTCCCAGAGCTGAGCTGAAGGATGGTTGAAGTTTAACCAGTTTAAAATGAACATTTAATGAATAAAAATGTGTGCTGTTGAATGTGTACTGAACCGCATCCAGTTCTGGCATCTCCACCCTAAAAGGGACACAGAACTGTTGGAACGAGCCTAGAGGGGGGCCAAAAACTTGATCCAGGGGCTGGAGCATCTCTGCTATGGGGATAGGCTGAGGGTGCTGGGTTCAGCCCGGAGAAGAAAATACTCTGGGGGGACTTTGTAACTGCCTTCCAATACCTGAAGGGAAGCTACAGGAAGGCTGGAGAGGGACTTCTCACAAGAGTGTCCAATGACAGGACAAGGGGAAATGGCTTTAAACTGAAGGAGGTTTAGACTAGATCTTAGGAAGACGTTCTTCAGTACAAGGGTGGTGAGATTCTGGAATAGATTGCTCAGAGAGGTGATGGATGCCCCCTCCCTGGAGGTGTTCAAGGCCAAGCTGGATGAGGCCTTGAGCAACTTAGTCTAGTTGAGAGGCATCCCTGCCCATGGTGGGGAGGTTGGATTAGATGATCTCTAGGGTCCCTTCCAACTGAAGCCATTCTATGATTCTGTTGGTATGGCAAAATGGTTTTTTAATTAATTTTAATGGTGAGTCTAATTGGTGTATTTAATACTGCTTCCAAATAAACTAGAACTTTGATGGCTTACATTTATGTGAAAAAAAATAGAAAGCTCTATCTCCCTCTACACATAAAGGATGAAGTCTTTTTTTTTTTTTTTTTTTTTTTGTCAAATCCCAGGCATTGGACTCAGTTACTTCCAAAATCTCCTTGCAAACAAAATTACACCAATCCTATATCACATTTTAGTGTTTTTGAAAGTAAAATAAAATACAATGAATGGAGCACGTCATTGTTTTCAAGAGATTATGACCTTTCTCAGACACAGTTGAACAAACCTTGGGGATAAGATAGTCTCTGAATTTGGTATCTTTGAGCACAGCATGTGGGACATTAAGTGGAAGGAAATCAATGAATCTCTGGATTTCGTGGATCACAGCATCTGTGTAAGGCATTTGGCTCCGATCTGCCATGCAGGGGCTTCGGTCTCGGCCAATCACACAATCAATCTCCTTCTGAACTTTCTCTGTTGGGAAATAAGTCAGTGTTGAATGGACAAGTCCCCCATCTGTTTGCCTAAACACCTCCCCATATTAACAGCAAAACTTACTTTTCATGCACCAGAAATATATGCATGTACTTAGCACTCATATCTGTTTCCTGTGAATAGAAATCGACATTTCCACATTTTCCACACTGTAAATAGGTTTCCGTAGCCAGGTTTCCATTGCCACATGTGGTGGCAACAGGAATTGTCCAGACTGATCCCATGACCTATTAAAAAGTTTTCAGGTTTTTTATTTCTTTTTCTATTACCTGTTATCTCGGGGTATTTCAGGAGAATCAGAAGTCCATTTCTCAGTGTGGTGCTGGTGGTCCCTGTTCCTGCGAGGAATAAGTCGAGTGTGGTCCTGCTCAAGGTTTCCACAGTGAAGTGTGAGTGACTGTTCCCTTTCTCCTGGAGGAAGATTTGGCAGAACGTTTTGAATGTCAAAGCCTAAACGGCTTGTTTAAAAAGAAGAGTCCTGTAGCCATGATGCATGCTTTTAAACACACCTTAAGTCCTTTCAAAAATGCAATACTCACTCTCCAAAACACCAGCATTTATGGTACTTTTACTAAATAATATTATGAAACTTTTTAAATATGGGAGGAGCATTGAATTGCATCAAACAGATTGGTCTTCAACTTCCCTAACTTTGCTAGTGCTATTAATTCTGTGTTTAAAAATCCTTGATAAGAACATTGAAAGGTAAGAATGAAGTAGGTATGCCAAGAAAAGCAAGTTGCAAGTTACCCTCTGAATTTGCAAAAGCACAGTGTCCTGACACAACTGAAGAGAAGCTGGGAATTCAAGCAGTAGTTTTCTTATAATCCAATAAATCTCTTGCTTTTACATTACCTGTTCCATTTTGTTAAGGAAAGCATCAACAAAATCTCGAGGACAAGTAGGATCCAGGGTCTTCTGGTGTTCTTCTATGATTTCTAAAGTAAATTGATTAACTTTTTCAACATTTTCTATCATTTTTTGATGAGGCCCAGGTAAATAGTCCATGACAGTTGGGAAGAAATTGTATACCTGCAAAAACAGAATGATGGAAAAATCACATTCTGATTAATGTGAATACAGTAATGTGTTCCCCTAACTGTAACTATGAAAATGGGGCAATTAAACTCTTTTTGAACAGTGAACCTTTATTATTCAGCTAGACTTTAATGCCTTTATGGTTTCACTATATTCAAGGACAGACTTCACTTGAACAATTTTTGCAATTAGATCCTTCTTTGGACACACAGTGGCAATTCCATAAGGTAAGAAAGAAACAACAGGAATTGGTTATTTAACTACTTTTCTTGGAGTTCAAGAATTTTTTTCCAAATTTAGGAAAATCTACTCCAATTAAAAATCAATAACATGTATAAATATTCCTTAATAGAATGATATAATAATTAGCAACTTTATTAATTAAAAGAACTTTTAGATACCTGTATTTGTATAGAGTTCTGGAGCCTGTTGTTTTCTTCCAGCAGGTCAATTAAAGTTAGAAACTTCTTGTCCTCATAGTCAAACCTATCCCCAAAGATGATGGAGCAGATGATGTTGGAAACAGCATGGACTAGGAAGCTGCCAGGGTTAAAGGGTTGCCCTGCAACAACAATAACAACAAAAAAGGATATCTTGATTTAGTAATTCAGGCATCATCCCCTCCTCTGACACTATAGGGAAGTTTTGCATCCTTCCGAAACCCAGGGTTTTGTACTCCTTTGAAAGGATGGTGAAAGGCTTATCCAGTTTATTCTTCTGTAGTTGAAGTGAACTGATTTCCCTCTTTGAGTGGTTTAAGTATCTCTTTTGCCCTGTTCTCAGCAGAATAGGGGTCTGAGTAGCTTGGGTCCTCTTCAGCTGTCACATCTGTCTGCTTTATAGAATGCTTCTTAGAACTGGCCTAAAGATTCCCACTAAAACCCAATTAAACCATAAATACTTTGCCAGATCTATGACTTTAGGCTATTGCACCCTGTTTAGGAACTCCATTAACATAACCTCAGTTGCATAACCCTCTTCTAGGGGTTCAAATTCTTGTGATCAAAGTCTAATTTTGATAGCACACCTGCATAAGCTTCTAAGAAAACTATGGTGTGAGAAAAATGAGATTAGACCAAAGAAAGGAAGGAAAGGTATAATTGCAGACAGTGATAGGGTGCATCTCAATGTTTCAAGAGGAGAAACAACAACAAGGAAAGGTATACAGTCCTAAAAGAAAAACAAGGGGTCAGAAAATGGCAGCTGGGCAGCATTGAGGATGAGCTTATTCCAAGAAGTAATGGCACCAACCCATCTCTCTCTGACTGATGACTCCCTGGCCATTGAAGACTCAGCAGAAGTCTCATCAGAGGTGGTTAGTATATTAATGCTGAGCCTAGCAGATAACTAGTCCCAGCTATTTACTATTTGCATATTATTAGAATGGCTTTATTCTTTCCAGTTGTATATATCTCACTTGCAAAGCCTTTTAGTACACAGTAAAAGATGGTGTACCAAGGAGAGCCAGAGATGCAGGCTTGCAGTAGGGCATGGGAAATACAGCATTGCCATGCTAGTGAAAGGATTAGAGCAATGCAGGTGAGAGTGTTTTCTCTGATTTATAATAGGAATGTTTATCTGTGAATCCAGACTGAATTTTCCAGTGGATCATGGGAAGCAGTGATGATTCAGCATCCTTTCATATCCATCTGATTTTTCCCCCTTGCAGAACAAGCTCACATTGAAGGCTGGCTGTGGAAAGGAGACCTGTGTTCCGGGCTGGTACTGTGCCACTCTCAGGGTAAGTACTTAGAATAACATTGTCTGACCTACTAGCAGAAAGTGCCTTTATATGTTGAAACCAAGGGACTGAAGCCTTATTCCCTGCCCTCAAGAGCTGCTTATAGTCTCTGTTCCCATTGTACACCCCACCAATACTGGGAGGTGTTGTCTGATGTTCAGATGGACTGGACCAAACCCTGAATATCTGTAAATGAGTTCTCTTGTCACCCACTTTTTCAAGATTCATTTACTTAGAGCTTCAGGAGACAAAGCATGGAAGTGAAGCGCATGTTTCTTGACTCTTGGCATTGCCCATTCCTTACTCCATGGCTGAATTCCACCAAACCTTCAGCTTTGGGGACAGGCCATTCCCTTTGCCACTTCCTGTCGTGTTCCTCAAGCAGAACAGGTTAAAGAATGCTTTCCAACACCGGTCTCCTACATTTATCCTTCCATAGTGTCACAGTGCCTTTGACTGACCCACTCCCAGCAGTGACAACTTTTTCCTATTGGACCCAGGAAGCAAAACAGCAACCACACGCCTACTTCTTGGGTCACAGATTTGATGAAGCAGCCCTACACCCCTCACTGTCTCATTGCAGGTATGCAGGGTGTGCCAGCATGCACAGTCTATGACGTACCATTTGTGTTCCTGATCCTCTCCACCAGAAAATGAGCTTCCTCCTGGATTCGCTCCTCAATGCCCTTCTTCCCCATCCCAAAATCCCTCAGGGTGGTGATTGCAAAACGTCGGAGCTGCTTCCAGGTCTCCCCGTTGCTAGTCACAATGCCTGACACAGGAAGGAAAAGAAGACCCCTATGAAGAAACACTTTTTCCCCGGAGTAGAAGTTACACAGTAGTACTCAATGTGCAAATACACCTCTCTGTGGAGTTATACTGCAGTTACTATATGGTCTGCTTCCAGGTCTCCCCGTTGCTAGTCACAATGCCTGACACAGGAAGGAAAAGAAGACCCCTGTGAAGAAACACTTTTTCCCCCTCCCCCAAGTGGAAGTTACACAGTAATACTCAATGTGCAAATATACCTCTCTGTGGAGTTATACTGCAGTTACTATATGGTCCAATATGTAACTTCTCTGTAGTTCTGGAGGTGACAAATTGGATTCAGCTGTCACAGTATTTTGAGTAAAACTGAGATTATTCCCAGAATAAGAAAAACTATGTTGGATATAAATAGCAATTTAATACTGGTACTGGACTGATCTTGGTCAGAAGCTCATGGCCTTTGCATTGACATAAGTGCTTAAGTGTTCAGCTGTACACCTTTGCAGTGTTTCACTACTGACAATACCATTACTACTGTACTACAGTGCCACTGAGTAGGTACTCTTTACCTAGATAAATGCCATGCTGGCAACTGCCATGATGAATAAACTCATGGCCTGATCTTGAATCCCTTACTGGGACAGCCTACATTGTCTTGTCTTTGTTGTGTTGAATAAACTCATGGCCTGATCTTGAATGTCACCCTTACTGGGACAACCTACATTGTCTTGTCTTTGTTGTGCAGTGGACTTCTCTTTTGCTGATTCCTTAAATCTTGTCAATGCTTTCAGGAATCGAGGCGTGAACTTAAGATCTTAGAGGCATATGTAATGAACAAAATTTCAGCCAGAATTTGAAGCATGCTGAAAATAGAAAGACATGCAGTGAAGCTACTCTGGAACCTTAAACAGTTCTCCAGTGTCATGGTTACAGGGGCTGGGACCAGTTTATCCTTATGTGGGTAGAACCAAAACTGTGTATTCTATACCCTCTATGTCAGTGCTCATGGGCTGTTAAGAAAATCATGGGTAGCAGCTGCCCAGGACAGACCTCACACCCCAGGCTATAACAGATAAGGAAAGAGGTTCAAGGTCAGGGGAGATGTTAACACCTTCCCACCCAGCAGGAGGAGTCCTCCCTGTTCATGGGCCCATCCATGCCTCGCCCCATGACTCATACAGAGCTCCCCCCAGGAGCTATTTCTGTTTAATGGACCATCAAGGACCCACTGCATGACTCATAGACTGATATCAACCCATTGTGAGATGCTCCACCCAGGGGGAGGAGCCAAGTGCTCCCACCTGGATATAAACTGGGGTTCAGGACAGCACAGGGGGCCTTACCCACTGGATTTCCAGAGGACAAGAGCTACCAGATCTTTTCTACGAGACCACTGTTTCATCTGGACTGCTACCACCAACCTAACTACAGAGTATCAGGTTGTATTCTGACTCTGTCTGTGGTTTTCCTTTGTATTATTGCTTTTATTTTTTTTTTTCCTTATTAAATTGTATTTCTGACTTGGAGTCTCTCACTGGTTTGTTTTTCAAACCATTACATCCAGGAGTCCAGTTTACTCAAGGTAATAAGTTGGGCTTTTTACTCTTTTATTGCTAATTTGTATGCATGAAAGTAGTAAATGAACTCCACCCTCCCCCACTGTCTTCTCAGCTGTGTTTCTGAAGCACTGACAGCATCAGCTTTGGTTGCTAGCATTACCAAGGACTTACCTGATCCTTGGAAGAGTTTTTCAATCAGCGGTAATTTGCCTCTTCCACTGAAGTCATCTGCCTGATCAATCAGGGCTTCTTTCACAACATCATAGCCATACAGCACCACAGCCTTCTGTGGGCCTAACTTTACTGTGAAGACAGAACCATACTTCTTGCTCATCTGTAGGAAGGAGGAACACAAATAACAACAGGTCTGCAGGTTAATCATGTGAAAAGAAGTTTGTAGCAAAGGGTTCTTAGGGGTGATGTGTCATTGTCCCAGAATCACTGAGACATGGTGTTGATTAGCAGCAGTGCAGAGATCTTTCACCTATGAATTACAACCAGGGGAAGAGGGAATTAAGAAATAGAGGATACGAATGGAAATGGTGAGGTGTCAAGTCCAGATCCCAGGAAGGAAAATACAGCTGGCAAAATAGACTGGAATGCCTTTCTAGAGGGCACAGTGGGTAACAGTTTACACTGGCTCAAAAAGCACATACACTTATGTACACTTATGGAAGCAAGTGCCTAAAAGGTTCTTGAGCACAAACATATCACAATTGTCTCTAAAATTTCCTGGGCTACAGGCCTCTGGAAATTTTGTGAGTGTATCAATGCATCCTTGCACTAATCATGTGCTTTTTCCCAGGCATCTGCTTTTGGCTACACTTACAGAAAGGCTCTTGGGCTACTTGGTGTAAGCTGGAACGCTTCTTCTCATGCTCACTTTTTTTAAGAGTGAAATAGATGTGGTCCCAGGGAAACTGAATCACACAGTGCTCTGAAACAAAGCAGAATACCTGGGGGTGCTCATGATACTTAACGTTCACAAGCATCAAGGCAAAAAGGAGCTCATATGGATATGTGTGGGCCTTGCAACACACAGGGTTTATTTGACAGATGGGTGACAACAGCCAGGGGAGGGAGTGGACAGCACAATTCACTTCCAAACTTTTTTGCTTCTACCCCTTCACTCACTACTTCCTCTCCCAGGAGATCCTACCTATCTGCTAGGGAGAAGAAGCAGCAAAATGGAGCAGGGTCCTCCTCAAGAAAGAGCCAGGCCATGTTGCCAGTGTGGCAAGGAGCTGGGCACAGGAGGCGTGGAGTGAACACTTCAATAGCGTCCGTGCCTTAATTGCAAAGTCACTGCAGATCACAATACTACCATGAGGTCTGCACAGCACTTATCATTAGTATGATTATTGCAAATATATATAATCATAGAATCACCATGGTTGGGAAGGACCTCCAGGATCATCAAGTCCAACCTTCCTCCCAACATTTCCCTAACCACTAGACCATAGCCTCAAGTGCTCCATCCACTCGTTTTTTGAACACCTCCAGGGATGATGACTCCACCACCTCCCTGGGCAGCTCGTTCCAGTGTCTAAGCACACTCTCTTCTTAATATCTAACAAATTCTTCCTAATATCTAATAAAAATCTTCCCTGGCACAACTTGAGGCTATTTCCCCTTGTCCTATCATCAGTAATTTGGAAGAAGAGACCAACACCATCCTCACTACAACCTCCTTTTAGGCAGTTGTAGAGACCAATAAGGTCTTCTCTAGGCTGAACAACCCCAGTTCCCTCAGCCACTCCTCATAAGGCAGGTTTTCCATCCCTCTCACCATCCTCATTGCCCTTCTCTGGACCCACTCCAGCACCTCAATGTCCTTCTTATCCTCTGGTGCCCAAAACTGGACACAGTGCTCAAGGTGTGGTCTCACCAGTGCCGAGTCTAGGGGCAGAATCACCTCCCTACTCCTGCTGGTCACACCAGTTTTGATACAGGCTAGGATGCTGTTGCTGTTCTTGGCCACCTGGGCACACTGCTGGCTCACGTTCACTAGGCTGTCCACCAACAGCCCCAGGTCCTTCTCCATTCCAGCCACTCCTCCCCAAGCCTGGAGTGTTGCCTGGGGTTGTTGTGACCCAAGTGCAGGACCCAGCACTTGGCCGTGTTAAACCTCATCCAACTGACCCAGCCATTGCTCCAGCCTGTCCAGACCCCTCTGCAGAGCCTTCCTACCCTCCAGCAGATCAACACTCCCACTTAATTTTGTGTCATCTGCAAATTTACTGAGGGTGCACTCGATCCCTTCACCCAGGTCATTGGTAAAGATATTAAACAAGACTGGTCCCAAAACCGAGCCCTGGGGGACACTGCTCGTGACCAGACACCAGCTGGATTTAACTCCATCCACCACAACTCTCTGGTCTCGGCCACCCAGCCAGTTTTTAACCCAGCAGAGTCCACCTGCCTAGGCCATGAGCTGCCAGCTTCTCCAGCAGGATGCTGTGGGAAGCAGTGTCAAAGGCCTCACTGCAGTCCAGGTAGACAACACCCACCACTTTTCCCTCATCCACTAGATGGGTCACCTGATCATAGAAGAACAGGTTGGTCAAACAAGACTTGCCCTTCATGAACCTGTGTTAGCTGTATCCAGTCCCGCTGTTGTTGTCCCACACGTGCTGGGTGATCTCCCCCAAGATGAACCATTCCATAATCTTCCTTGGCACCAAGGTCAGGCTGATAGGCCTGGAGTTCCCTGGATCCTCCTTCCTGCCCTTCTTGTAGATGGGTGTATACAGACTCACAATATATAGACTTAGATGTATAGATTGTTACAATATAGAGACTTAAGAAGCATGTATTTCTTACATACCTTTTGCTTCTGTTTGACATTTGGTCAATGCAAATTAAGCTTGTGTATTAAGCTGAGACAGTCTAGACTGGACTTTGTTTTGTATGCAATGGAGACAACATAGGAAAGGACACAGTCCCTTACCTCCTTGAAGCTTTCAGGCATGTTCCTTGGGTTCACCTGGAGTATGTTTCCAACAATAGGTAATGTGATAGGACCAGGAGGCTGCTTCTGTTTTTGCAATATGCTTCTCCATGTAGTAAAGAGAAGAAGGCACGAGATGCAGACTAGCAAGAGAATAGTGGTCGTTCCCAGGAGCTCCATGATGGACTGAGGAAGAGAAGTGTCAGAAGAGCCTGATGTTGGACCTGTAAATCCATGCTTATTTATATGCCGGGATGCCAAACCATGGATTAAATTAGCCAATAGTGCC